TGACCAATGAAAAGACTCTACAGGTGGATTTCGATTTCGTCACCGATGATGATTCCTGTCTGACATCTCATCTAGCATAAACTCGAGGATCAACAGGCGACAACAAACAACAAGTTGACAGAAGAGGAGAGGCCACCAAGACGGTACTTCAGATGAACGTAGAGAAGATAGAGGTGATGGAGATAGCCAACCAACCAACCAACCAACCAACCAACCAACCAACCAACAACAACAACAATAAGAACAAGCACCAATCACCATGAAGGGGAGAGACCTAAAGGGAGTTGTCTCCTTCACCTACATATCCAGGCAGGGCAGCGTCGTCTCAACTACACGTGGTGGCACAGATGAAGACGTCAAAGCCAGCATCGGAAAGACAACAAGACAGACACTCATTGATCTGAAATCAGTGTGGAGATCTACAGCATCTCACTGCACTGGATTGCACTGCACTCAGCATAAAGCGTGAACAAGATGAGGATTTCCAACACGAGTGTTGGTCAAGTCGGTGCTTCTATGTGATGGTTGAGGGAGTTTGCGCGTCACGAAAAGCATTCCCAACAAACTACAGACATTCATCATTAGCTGCCACCTACGCTCGCTCAGTACTCAAGATCAGATGACCAGAATAACAGAAGTGAACAACAAGGAACTCACTCTGGCTGACTGCCGATGAACCTAATAATAACACGTCACCCAACAAATATGCATGAGAAGGAAGTGGAGATGGATTTGATTGGGGATACTTTGAGAAGACGTATTGTGGAGCTCACACGCCAGGCCAGACCGTTGAGTGGAAACTGCATGGAAAACGACGATTTGAGTGTCCGTGGTGAGTGTGATATTGAGGAGATGGTGTGAGGGAGAAATGAAAGCTTGTGGTTAGTGTTGGAGTGAGGTTGAAAAGACTGGAGAATAGAGAGTGCAATCGAGACGTGCTAGTGAATCATTGTGTTTCACTGGGAACCCGAGGGACAAATAATGATGAAATATTTTAGTGGAACACCATACTATCAAGGTGTATTTGCATGTGTTTAGCTGAACTTTGGGCGATATTCTTTTTAAATTGTTGAGGTATTCGCTGGACTTTTGACATTTCCCAACCGAACAACTTCATGACTGTTAGCATTCGAAACGTGAATGTAAAAGCTGGAGATGTTGTGGGGAAATACGCTGTATCCAGAACATATCATATAAGTTGAATCTTTGTGTTACGTTACGTGATTAGAAAAACCGAGTTACTTGGTTGTGAAGGAAATATGTGAATACGAAAATAATTTATAGATTTCATTGTGCAGTGCATGTTTCCAGTGTAATGAATAGCTAACGATATTGTCCAGTAAATTCATCGTGCTACCACTTCATCTTCTACCCATCATTCTCTCCACATATCAATGCATTTAAACCTCCACGAATTAGGTGGGGAATAAGTGATGCGTAGTGAATGTATATCATGAATAAAGAAGACTGGCTTGTCTCGTAAAGTTCTGAACAAATCATAATCTAAGCGATAGTTTGCACGTCCAACTTTAATAAATAATTTATTTATTGATTCATTTAATCATTCTTCTCATGTACCCAAACATTTACAATTCACAAAATTTCTACCCCTCATATACTTGCTTAAATTCACCTTCATATACCAACTAGTTCACATAGTTTGTATATTTCCGCTTGTTTTTTCATACAGTCATTACAGAAGCCGTATGAATTGGCTTCACAAAACGATCATCCGGTACTGACCGACTTCATCAAGGGCGAATACCAGCATGAACAAGAAGATGTGACCAAACAACTGGCTAACTACGTGACATAGGTGCAGAGAGTTGGGAGTCGACTGGGTGAATATTTGTTCGACAAACGACACCGAAGGAGATGCAAATACGCTATTATTTCATGGCGTGATTATTTTTCATATTTTTTTCCCTAAATCAATTTTGGTTAGCACGCTGATACTTTTTTAGTGTATGTCTATGACACTAATTTTATATGATTGGATTCTGTCCTGAGATACTTAACTATGCAGTAAGAGTGGGTTTTCTCAGTATCCTTTTATCTATGTCAAATCCATATTTTAGTTTTTCCATTTTACCTATACTGAAACTTGACAAACGTAATCTGCATTACTACTATTTACTGATATACTTGTAGTTCTCCGTTGCTTTTTTGGATCAAATTGTTCGACCTCTATTGGTATATGGGCCCCTTTGCAGATGCCTCGATATAGCCTGAATGTTAGTTATGGTAATTTTTTGGTTGAGGTTAGCAGAGGAATTTAGGATGCACGTTTCGTCCTATCTGGGACTCGCCAGCTAGATATACCTGTACCCCAGTGAGTGTTGCTGTTCCCACTGAAACTAGAACCCCTTACCCATTGCTTCAAAGGCCAAGACGTTATCTATTAGACCACGGTCAAGTAAATCACCATAATTAGTATCCAGGCAATATCCGCGCATTCGCATAGGAGGCCATATGACAGTAGAGGTCGCACAATTCGATCCAGTAAAATGACGGGGAATTCCAAGCATATTAAAAAAATAGTAAAAACTAATACCCGCTGTACAAGAGATGGCTGTCGTACCTTCGTGGCTTAATGGATAACGCCTTGGGGTTTGATAAATGGGTATGAGGTTTCAGTTTCAGTAGAAGCAACACTAGTCACTGGGGTGCAGGTACATTCAGCTGAAGAGTCCTAAATAGGACGGAACGTGCATTTTGGATTCCTCTGCATTATGTTTCTACATATATAAAGTGGATTCAAATCTCTTTCAAAATAGTAATCAGAGTGAACTTACTCAAATGAGTTATCATAATGAACTTTTCTTTTGTTTGTCTCTTGAACAATGATATTGATGAATATTATCGACAGCTGAAAGGTGTCAAATTTCTAGAGCTTTCATATTCACTGCATAAACAGACATTAGCAAATATGGTTGTGAATAATTAGAAAAATTCACTTCTGTGTAAAGATGCATGTTAGATTATAACGACTTATTATTGTTTCTAAGATTCAGTAAGAGTTCGTCTAGTTTAGAATGGCAATTTGAGTTTTGAGCTGTATGCTAAGACTTTAATTTTCACACCTCCTAGGCTTTGGAATTTTTGCTTCTGGGACCTATCTTTATTTGTGATTAATTATATGGATGTACCAGTTCATTACTGATGACTGTATTGCACGAAGAGTGTGATTACTTTCTATAGTCTGTTTTTGATCTGTAGTTTCCCAATTTATTGATATGATCAGTAATTAGATGTGCTTAGTGTATGACATTATTACGGTTATTGAAAACATGAAAATTGGTAAGGGTCATTAGTTGATCAAAATTATGGTCAGAGACATCAAATTTAGTAACAGAATGATGATTTTCAATAGATTTATATTTTTGAACATCTCATTATGTTTCTGTTTTGTACATGTAACAAACACTGAAACAGTATTATTTACTGGTGACATTTGGAGCAGAATTCATTGTTTATAGTCACATTGAGGTAATCACATAACTTTCTTGTCTGGCTTTATAATTCCGTTGTTTTTCACTCTTTGATTTAATTTGTAGTAAAAATTTCCAAATATCTGAAACTGGTGTTGCGTTATTTTTATTACATGTGTACAGTGGTCACCTGACTTATTGGGGGACAAAATATCACCTATCCAAACACAAAGTACCATTGACCTTCGACATCAAAGCAGCAGTGATTTCGATTGATAAACTGTTATTAGAATTACTGTGAAATAAACGTCATGTGTTGTGTCTTCATCAAGAGCTGACAAGTTATTTTTCAACCACTTTTACTAACATTTAGAAACTGCGGTGTAAAATTCCCTTCAAGAGTTCTACATTTCATACATCTATTACTATGTAGTAACAGTAATAGTAGAGAAAGTTGGACGATCATCGAAGGGAAATTATGCAATACTGTTGCACTTTATCATAATTCAGTTGATTTCAACTTAGGATAGAATATTACTTCAAAACTTCAACTGTTTTGGAGTTAAAAGAGGTGAAAAAAGCAACGTTTGCTGGTAGTTTTCATTTTAAAGTCAAAGCCTTTGACTGAAAACCTCATGATTCAAATCCTGTAAATTTTATTGGTTAGATCGAATAAAATACCTTCCATTCAAGGCTCTTCACTCCGCCCTACAGGCTTGGAAATTAAGTAGCAATGATGGATAACGGCTAGGAATGGAATCAAAGATGCAAGTTTCGTCCGACCTAAGACTCATCAGCTAGCTGCATGTGCTTTCCGGTGAGTGCTGTTCTCATTATGACTTGAGCCTACGACCGATCACTTCAAACCCTAGAGTGTTTTCCACTAGGCCACCGAGTCACGATGGCCACTTCTCACACGACAGGTATGGCTTTTGTTTCATTGCTTGCATTAGCCCGCCACTGATCGGACCGAAATAATCGGTCTTTATTGGCATATGGTAGGTACGTCCGGCTGATGAGTCCCAAAAAGAACGAAATGCTCAACCTGAATTCAACCACCAGCCACTAACCAACATTACTGCGAAACGGAAACTACAGGTAGTATAGAAGCTTTTACTCAGAAGCCTATATACCAATGGTGACCCATCATTAAGGTTCACTCAACAATGGGATAATACACGCAACAACATATAATGTATTGTTTGCTTCAAATGGATAGTTTCCCCTATGATTCGTAATTTTCACACCAGCAATCACTGCCTATCATTGGTTTGGAATTCATTATTATTTGTTGTCTTGTAGACATCTTTCAACTAGTGTTTATTTTTCTTCCCTTTTTCCTCCCTTATTTCCTTTCGTAGGGGTGAAAGAAACTTGAAAATAATTTCTGACCAATGAAATCATGGTAACAAACATGAGCATTGGATGCAACTTATTACAATCACATTAAAATAAAATATTCCTGATAATAATAGAAAGTGGAATATACTATGCTACTATCATCTATTATTCAGATGCTCTTTGTAGCGGTTGAATTTTACCGAAAGGCATAATCAACTACTTGGAGAAATGTCTTCTTTTAAACCAGGTAAACGAAACCCGATATTATTTTCTCTTGTTTCCGCATTAGTAATTATTTATTAATGATGGATAGTGGCTAGTAGTGGAATTCTGGACGCCCATTTCGTCCAATTTAAGACCCACCAGGTGGATGTACCTGGGTTCCAGTAAGTGATATTGTTCCCACTAAGACTCGGATTCGGCGGTGGTCGCTTCAAAGGCTAGATTGTGACTCACTGGGTCAATGAGTCGCAATAACCACCTTTTGTGCGAAGCATATAGTTTTAATGTTGCTACATTAAAACGTATACTCTCATTGTCATGACCAACAGATGTTTAAGAGAATAATCATATACTTATAAATTTTTAGTTAAATAACTCCCAAGTTATACTCCATCTTGTTGTCTATGAGTCACAATTGCAAACTGGCTTTGAACAGTGGACAGCGTCCACTTAACAGAACGAACCGTACTGTTATGTTGACCATCATAGGGTCACCGGTTCATGTAAATACTACGGAAATTTAATAAGTAACACAGAATGGAAGAAGGTGACTGTTGGCTACCATATCTTATGCTCACCTCTAAAAAGAGTTTCTATAGAAAGTATTTATTTATTTATGATTTATTGTCTATGAGTATCTTAAGCATAAAAAATCGTGTGTTAAAATATACAGTTAAAAAGGCCTTCCACATAATCTGTGTGAAGTTTTCATTTAGTAAGATGGTGAACTTAGAATTTTCGCGAAAATATATTGACTTAATATGCCAAGTCTTGAAAGTCCAGAAAAAGAATCTTCTCTGGATCAGATTTAGTATCGAACGTAGAATATTTGCAAAAAGTTGACAATAGTGATATTTTCTGTTTACAGCAACAAGTAAACACTTGGCCTGTAGGCAGTAATAAAGACAATAAAAACTCACTTTTAATGTCTTAAGGTCGCGTAGAGTTAAGACTTAATACCTTTTATCAAGTTGCACATACTACGTTGCTTCCTAACGTCAAAGTACTTAAACTGACAATCACACTACATTTTTCTGATTGACGCCATACAATAGTTGGGAAGGGTTTGAGATTGAGTGGTTAAACTAGTCAGAATAGTATCTGATAAGATTTATTGGTGAAAAATTATAGAGCCAATAGATTACAAAGCAAGTAGATGATCAAAAGTAAATTTTTCAAACAGATATGGTCATTGTGAAGACTTTTCACTGAGAGTTTGTGTCTTTGGTTTATTCTGTGAAATGGAGTGTAAACTGTTTTAATTCTCACTTAACTACACCCAAAAAACCTATTTCTTTGTGTGAACGCACTAATTTTGAACAATTGCTATGACTAATATTCACTTTGTTTTATCAGTACAAATCAGTACTAGTTTTTACTCGTCGCTTAATCAGTTTCATACTCATAGCCTCAACTTTCAACTTATAAAAGTTTTAATCCTTGATACAAGTCATTTTTATATATATTATGGGGTAATTCTCGAATAAGTTACTTGTAGTAGCTTCCATTTAAAAGACTGATCTTAGTGGGAAGTAATGATGGTTGAAGCTCTTTTTCATGATCTTTTAATACCTATCTGTGTACCCGATGTCTGTTAGTGAAAATAAACTAACACAGGCCTTGATTAACGTTTTTTGTATGTTATCATTATTCAGTATATTATATCGAGAAACTTCTTTACCCTTATTATTCTGAGCTAAAGAAAAGGACTGCTTCCCGATCATGATAAAACAGCAAAATTGGTAACTGGAAGGAATTATAAGCTCAAAGATTCATAAAATCTAAGATAAATGAGTCATAGTGTAGATTTGGCAACTGTTTAATTTGGAAAGCAAATAAGTTTTCCAAAGCAAATTTTAGGAAATGAGACGGAAGTTTCCAATATTTGCTTCTGACCTCATTTGGGTATCAGCTACATTTCCCTACGACAGTTCCTCAGTTAATTTAATAGTGAAAGTGTAATTGTTGTCTGCTGGTTTGTAAATAAGAATGACATGAATCAGAATAATCCTTTACTAACCAGAATTTTAGTTAGGTAGTATGCGAAATCAGCTCGAATACCAGTGAACCAAGTTAAAATGAAACGTTCATATAATGAATACCGTAATTTGCAAGTTCCGTTATTTCTGGAGATGCAAACGAAGTTTAATTGTAAAGTAGATCAGTCAGCTTTAAACTAGTAACAGATTTGCCGCAAAACATCCTAAAACATGTCACATTTCAGAAAGTATCTATTTCTTCATTCTCGTAGAATAAATCTGAGCCAAGTGATTTAGACGATTCACTATCAACGAGATTAATCTCGCATATACTTACCACTTCTCGAATGCTCAGTCCATACACATGCTGGGTTACTCAGCTGGAACCCCCCAACCTGACACAGGAAAGTACTTCAAAGATAACTCCATCACCTACTGAAATAATTCATAACGTTCTGTTATTTTATGAAAAACTACCATTCTAGCTGAAATAAAGAAGCCTAATTGGTTATTTTAGCGGTTGCTAGAGTGGGCTTTCAAGTCACACCAGGACTCAATGTTCTATGCTTATTATCTGCACATATCGACAATTTGAATCATCAGTATATAAAACTGAAATTCTTGTCCATAATGCACGACAATTCGCAAAACTTAAACAACCGTTTTCGTACACAAAAAATGAAATAACACAATGATTGACTTCACTCAACAAGTAATTATTCCAGAGCTATAAGTCAGACAGAAGCCGATAAAGAGTCCATCAATAGCTCTTGGACTGAGCTTTACATTAATGTTACTGAATAAATCATAAGTAAAATACCTTTAAAAAGAAATAAAATAATACAACCGATAATACTTATCTGAGATTTACGTTTACTTTTTTCGACCGAAATAACATTATCAATATCAAGTCTGTTTTTGGATTCTTTTCCTACTACAGATACATCATTACTTTCTAATCCATTTCAATTCTTTCCAGACGGAGTAACAAATTTACATTTTCCATCAATTTTACCATATTCCTCTACACTGGCACTTTTTAATGAAATTACAACAAAACTCAAACAGCATTCTCGATTTGTGCAAAATAATAATCCAATTTCTACTGCAACATCACCTGAATTAAGTGGCCTAGTAACTAATAATAACATCGCTTGTCTAGGTTCAATTGTCAATACATTTACAGACTTCTACCCATACCCCGTTACTAATCGAACAACGTTTTCCATGAATAATAATAACAATAATAATACTAATAATAGAAACGATGTTGAAAGTACACAGAAAGTTTTTCTGGGGCATAACAACTATGGTAAAATATACGGAAACCCATTAAAACATCACAGTTTATTCAGTTATCCTCCAGAAAACTGTAAACTTGTAGAAAGAAAAAATCCTTATGCGTATCAAGAAACTTACGGAGAAGTGGATGGACAATATTACTGTTGTCTAAATCATGAACAAAAAGAACAACAGCATCACTATAATCTTCACTGCAACTTCAAAGAATCAGAAGAAACACTAAAACTATGTAAGAAATCAACATATGAAAAGAATGTATTGAATACAATAGAAAATCAAAATAATTATCTTATGGATAGAATGATAAATATTCAAGAAAAATGCATAGATGAAGAACTGAAAACTTCACCAACTTCAGTGGATTCTCAGGTGATTGAAGATCAAATGAAGAAAAGTGTTCAGACATGCGTTTCACAAAGAAAGCGCCAAAAGTCCGTCGAATTTCATATAGACGATGAAGTTCAAGATAATTCAAAACGTTATCGTACAAGTTATTCACAGAAACAGATTGAATTACTGGAAAGAACTTATCAGTCAGATCGTTATGTCAGTCGACCACAGAGGGCTAAACTTTCCATTGAACTTAATCTACCTGAGAATACAATCAAAGTAAGTAAAATGAGGTTTCTGTAGTTGATAAAGTAAAGTTGAATTTTTAAAGCTTTCCTTCAGCCATTTTGCCTAAAAGGGTTTATTCATTGGAATTTAAAGTTTATTAAAACTTTTACATATGTTGAGTCAATACCTCATCAAAAACAGGTTTTTTAGTTACAGAAGTTCCTCCACAGAAAGTTTTGACAGACATTTATAAACGTTTTAACTGGTTTGGGAATTAGTTGTCCTTTGTCTTATCGATTTCGTTGAACCATTTAAGGAATTTCAGAAATAGCAAAGTATTATTCAAGAAAAACTTTTTCTGTTTATCTTTTAACTGAGGGTTAATTCTGATCTTTTCAGATGAGTGTGTGAATTTATTACCCAGTACATAGATTTAATTCACTGATGTTGGCCTTATGACTAAGGACTCATTTGTTTTATTGTTCATTGCTGAGAACCCCATATAATATCACTCAAACTCATAAAACCAACAAATTCCCGGTGTTACACGTAGTGTTCGTAGTCTTATAACCACTTCAAATATCATCAGGAGAAACTCCAGAATAAGGTAACAGTACTTGATTTTCAGTGAATTCCCTTAATTAACCAGATGTACCAACAGTGATACAGTTTTTGAGAAGAGTGCTGAATGAGAAAATCTTTCTTCGTAAAATGAAGTTTGTGAGAAATTTGATATATATGCATAGTCCAGTGAGAATTCATTATATTGGGAGTAGTTATAATAGGAAACTGACCTAAATTACACAGTTCATGTAAACTAGGAGGCATCAGACTGCTTCTTCTTTGTAATTTACGGTTTTTTAGCTATCCGCTACCTGAACTTCTGAAACTAGATTCATGTACACTGATCTTTATTGGTGACTAGTTTCAAAATATAAAAACCATTTAGATTGCTACTTATTTCTCAAATGATATCAAATCATGTTGAAAGCTATCCTAGGACGATCGTTAAGGGTATTCATAGAGTTGTTCATCAATGGTCAAAAGCCAAAGCACAATAGATTAGGGACAGATGTGCAGTGTGAGTCTCATCACATTCAATTCTCCTTACCCTAGTTTTCTCCTTTCGGTTTTTAAAATTCAACACACTCTTTTATGCTCCAACTTCATTGGTTGGGACATAAGTTATCTAAGTAATAATTTGCAATTATAGCTGACTATTACATCGTTGATAAATACAACTCTGCTGAGAAGCAGATATTTCGTGATGTTTTTAAACCTTGGTCAACTAATGATGATAATATTACTTTGTACCGTATATTGATGAGTAAATAATACAACTTGTGAGGTTTCAATAGGAACGGGTGTTCTTTTCGATGGTACTTGTCAAATCAACGTTAGCACGAGAATTTATCAATACAGCAATAATGGTTTCGTTCTTAAAATTCTGTTCTCATAATCTACTGATCTGAGATTGATGAAAATAACAAGTATCTTTCGCTTTTGTAGGAAAGACTCTTTACTTAAAGAAATTTAGTAAGATGTTACAAACTAGCTAAATGAATTATCATTCTATATGGAAAGCTGGTGATGACAATACTCATTTTGTCAGAATTTATGACCTTAAAAAGCAGTTAAGAAGAGATTAACTTTGTTTAGATAGAATTCTTCAACTCAACATTTTCAAAATACGTTGAAAATTCCTACTTAGACATTTAGAAAAAAGATTGATTGAGCAAAGTGATATATTCCTTTCCATTTAAGTCTTCGTCTTTAGTTCTACAGTAATATATAAGGTTACTATTCAGTCAAAATACCAGTCAAGTGGTGCGGGGTTGGTAAACAATAATCAGAGACTTTAGGTCATGTAGATGGTACTTTTGGAAAATCAAGTCACAAATAATTACACGGGATTAAAAATGGTAATTATATTATTGTGAAACAAGTTATCCCTAGGAAAATGCCACAGTGACTGGTGAAGAAGTGGAGTGTTTTTTCTAGAGTGGTCAGTCATAACCAATAAAAAACTATGCAAATATAAGAAAACAAGTGAATATTGATAAAACAAGAGAGAGCAGAGATGTGCGAAGTAAAACTAAAAGTTACAACATGCTGACCGCCGTGGTAATGCGAGGGATTGAAGAAATTTCTTTTGAATACAAAGGTTAGGTTTGTAAAGGTGGTAAATTAGCTGTTACACAACAAATAACTGTAAATGCTTTGATAGAATCCACTTCAAGTCTGGTGTCAACTAAGTGTGCAAGTAAGGAGCTCTTTATTGTTCTAATCCGTCCCTTATTCGACTATGGTCGGTGGTGCTTAAATAGTAAACAGATATAAAAATCAGTTGACTGACATTGCTTGAAACCGCAGCGCATGTTTAGTTTATAGCACTAAAGAGTTTGGGCACTGTGGTAGAATGTAATTCCATTCTGAATAAGTCTATTAGGTATAGTATTACTTACAAGATAATACTAAGTGAATAATGAATTCCAACTTCAGTTTCCTTTATGTAATCATCTAAAAGGGAGCATCAACTTGTAATCGCAACTTCCTATAACATATTCACGAAACTGTGTAAAAAAAGTGATAGTAACTTATCAGTAAGTCTCCTTAATATCCTGGCGGTAAACATCATGAAGCGACTTTGTACATGCTTAGCAAATAGATAAATATTGATCAGCTTTTTACTATCCCGTATGCACGTCTGTACGTGAGTGAATATTATGTTAATTTCTTGTTGTATTCTGTTCTGTAATGAAGTTATGATATATTTACTTCTTTGTATTAACCTTTTTAGGTTTGGTTTCAAAATAGGCGGATGAAAGAGAAACGTCAAGCCCTTATGTTACCAACTGTTGCAGGTAAGCATTGGTTGTGAGCCTTGTGTCTTATAATTTTAGCGATTAAGCAGACTAAGCGGATCACATTTATAACTGCTTTAGAAGAAGTGTTTTTTAGGGAGGAATCGTGTTTTGCATTTACTTGCAGGTGGTCATTTTCAGAAATTTTATTTAAGTTGGAAAGTGGCTTGTGCTAGGATCCAGGATGCGCGTTTCGTCCAACTTGGGACCCGCAACCTGGATGTACCAGCCTCCCAGTAAGCGATGTTTTTCCTACTAGAACTTGAACCCGTGACCGAACATCTTATAAGCCAGAGTGTCACCCACTAGGCTACAGAATCACGATACCTACTTCTTGAACGGAAGTTATAGTTTTAAGATGTTGCTAATGATATCCTGGATTCCACTACTAGACGTTATCCATCATTACTATAAAGGTGAAAACACATGAAGTATCGAGGCATCAATGCGTAAGTCTATTCGCCAATAGAAACCGACCAAATTTGTTCAACCAACGACGGGATAATACAAGCAACGACATTTTAAGTGATGACATTTTTATCAGAAAGTTTACACCACGCCGAGTGTTTCCAGAAAAGTCCTCGTACTAAGTGCAATAGCTGCATGAAATGCAGTCAAACTTTTATTCACTAAGAGTTGACTTCTATGATAACATCTTACGACCAAATCAGGGTGGATAAAGAAACGACGATTATTGACTTATTACTTCATAAATTTGTCAAACATTATTTTCACATAATGTAACCTCAAATCAGTCAATGGAGTGGACTGTGTGTTAAAACAAATCTTAGTAGTCGTAAGTCTTACTTGATAGTAATTAGAACAAACGTTTCTTGAATTGACAGCTGTCCAGTGCTCCCAGGTTTCCTTTGTTCCTCCAACTGATGTCAGTCTTCGATGAATAACAACTTGAAATATTTCCAAATCTCCACAACCCCCTCAAAATTTATTTAGTAATCATTTAGGAGGATTAAATTTCATGCTTTGAAGTTAGTTACAAGAGGTCAGAATTTCGTCATTCCATGATCATATCAGGTCAGAAAATACGATTTGTCTTGACAGATTTATCAGTTTTTATGTTGAATTTCTATAAGTTGCTGTCTACTTGATGGTACAATAGTTTCATGGAATTCAAAAGATACCGGCAGAAATAGAAAATAAAGTCTTGCACAAAAGCACAGAACTGAATGTTCTTGTGGTAGAGTATTGATAAATACCAATCTCTTATTATTCGAAGATGATTCGTTTTACCATTTTGTATCAGAACGCTTTAAATAAAAATTTTACTTTCATTGATCTGAAGCCATTAGTGGAAACCAGTGCACCTTTTTTCTATGCAATTTGATCACCAGCAAGGTATGTTTTCGACTTCTGAGACCCTTATAACTCATTTATTCTACACATATATTCATTGATGGTAATCAACCCGAACTGGCTTATTATATTAGGCAGTATATACTTTCGAATCTAACATCTTTGTACCGAGACATCCTTCACATACGTAGCCGGTTGTGAACATGAAGTGTACTGATTTTCACTGACTCCCTAGTTAAAGCACTTGGTTTCCGTAAAAGTACTTCACTGCTGACATCAATAACCCCAAAGCAAATCGGCTAGAAATACCATCAGCAACCCAGTCACAGAACTACCAGTGAACACAAGTCCTCCAAAAAAAGCAGAAGTTCTCAACGCCATAAAGTTAATGAAAACCGGGGGAGCAGCAGGACCAGATGAAATTCAACCAAAAGCGCCAAAACAGACGCACAGACAACAGTGGACATACTCACACCATTAATGCAGAAGGTTTGGAAGGAAGGAAGGAAGGAAGGAAAGGTACCTGGAGATCGATTGAAAGAAGGGTTACCTTGTCAAACTCACAAAGAAGGTCGACCTAAGCTTAGTCTTTGCATCAACTGGTGTGGAATCATTCTCCACCTCCGTCCACCACAAGCAATTATTATCCCGCATCATCCTGACGAGACTGAATAATGCTCTCGATTCAACTGTATTACGACCAGAACAGACTGGCTAGCTGGTTGGCTGGCTGGCAGGCAGGCAGGCTGGCTGGTTGGCTGGTTGGTTGGTTGGCTTTAGCAAGAACAAATCATGTGTGGATCAAATTGCAACACTACGCCACACATCATAGTAGAACACAGTATAGAATGCCAGTCAACTCTCTACATCATATCAACTTCATCGAAATTGAAAAGGCATTCGACAACGTCAACAGAGAAATAATTTAGCAGGCAGCTGCTTCAACACTACGCTTTTACTACCACAAACATTTATCTACCTCATTCAACAGCTATGTGACGACGCCACATGCCAAGTGTTTCACTATGCTAAGCAGATCAGTGACGCCTTTGTAATGAGGACAGGGTCGAGAGTAAGACAAGGCTGTCAACGCTATCACCCATGATCTTCCCAATTGTGGCCAACTGGATTATTCAGTGAAATGTGAGGAGCTGTGAGAAGATGGACATACGCTGTTTGACCAATGAAAAGACTCTAGAGGTGGATTTCGATTTCGTCACCGATGATGATTCCTGTCTGACATCTCATGTCGCATAAACTCGAGGATCAACAGGCAACAACAAACAACAGGTTGACAGAAGATGTGAGGCCACCAAGACGGTACTTCAGGTGAACGTAGAGAAGATAGAGGTGATGGAGATAGCGAAACAGCCAACCAACAACAATAACAACAACAACAACAACAATAAGAACAAGCACCAATCACCATGAAGGGGAGAGACCTAAAGGGAGTTGTCTCCTTCACCTACATATCCAGGCAGGGCAGCGTCGTCTCAACTACACGTGGTGGCACAGATGAAGACGTCAAAGCCAGCATCGGAAAGACAACAAGACAGACACTCATTGATCTGAAATCAGTGTGGAGATCTACAGCATCTCACTGCACTGGATTGCACTGCACTCAGCATAAAGCGTGAACAAGATGAGGATTTCCAACACGAGTGTTGGTCAAGTCGGTGCTTCTATGTGATGGTTGAGGGAGTTTTCGCGTCACGGAAAGCATTCCCAACAAACTACAGACATTCATCATTAGCTGCCACCTACGCTCGCCCAGTACTCAAGATCAGATGACCAGAATAACAGAAGTGAGCAACAAGGAACTCACTCTGGCTGACTTCTCAATGAACCTAATAATAACCCATCATCCAACAAATATGCATGAGAAGGAAGTGGAGATGGAATTGATTGGGGATACTTTGAGAAGACTGATTGTGGAGCTCACACGCCAGGCCAGACCGTTGAGTGGAAACTGCATGGGAAACGACGAGTTGAGTGTCCGTGGTGAGTGTGATATAGAGGAGATGGTGTGAGGGAGAAATGAAAGCTTGTGGGTAGTGTTGGAGTGAGGTTGAAAAGACTGGAGAGTAGAGAGTGCAATGGAGATATGCTTTTGAGTTCCTATGTTCCACTAGGAACCCAAGGGACACATAACAATTATAACTGACGAATTTCCTCAAATCCAGTTTGCTTTGGTATATTAAATTCACTAAAGTCATATCATTTTCCGCTTTTATTCGAGACATTCTTTGTAGATGCGTAGTCATATAACTATTAAATCGCCATAACTTTCCTCATATATTTTTATATTTATCCAATTATCTCCGGTGTATTTCATTATATCTAGATATTTTTTAATTACCTTCAGAACACAAGTTATATATATAAAGCATTTCCTTTAGAAAGTGTCATAAACTTACTTTAAAACCGTTCCTTTCTTAACTGTTTATTCAAAATATACTCATTACTTGAACAGAGGAAGTGTCGGTAGAAAAGCCATTAGAGTAAGAAATTCCTGTATATATTTGTAATTACCTGAAAACACTTAATACTAACACCCTTAGATTATTTAAAAAAAACGGACATCCTGTTGAATAAAGGTATAGAAATTAGTTAGTTGTATTAATTTGAAAGAAAGCCAAATTGTTTTTTATGAATTCCTGTTGAGCTTAAATCATCCGTTTGTAATCGTAATGAAAACTGGGGAGTATTATGGACAGCTTTCGTGTGTCTTTCTGCTATTCAGTTAACATCCATTTATTACGTCTTATAGTTTGCATTATGTTAGGCTACTAACTCATTAGTATCTCCTAAATATACTTCCCATAATAGATGAATCAAATATGTTATAAATCAATTTTTAGCCAGATGTTAACCAGGATAGTTTTCTGAACAGCCATGATTATCTATTTCTATAAACCAATAATGCACTTATATGACTGAGTGAAGTAGCATGACACTAAGAAGCCATGAAGTAAGTGTTTAGCGTTTAAAGATAATTAATATAAATACCTGAAGATAGTTTCTTTTCATCATTTTGCTGAATGTGCGATGATGTAAACATCGATGCAATCGAATTTTTAAAAAGGCATTGCATGAAATTGGAAAACTTTAGCTGAATTGTGTTCAGCTCTATTACTGAATAACAGTTTATCAACCTAAAAATGAAGGTAAGTTTCCACAGAGTTGTGATTGCACTAAAAACTAATTGAAGTGCTGCATTGATAAACTCTGAAATCTCAGCACTTCTGCCCAACCCTTTTAGCATCTCACGTTACATGTGAATAAATGAAACAGCAATTTACAATAACTGGTTAGGAAATGCTACTTCACTATGTGATACGCCGAATTAACGAACCAAGTGCAGTTATAGCTGAACTTCCACTGACCATGGCAGAACCGAAAATAAGAAGTTACAAGAATATCTTCAAAGAACATACTGCAGACCAAGTAACCCTTCCAAGGTTATATATATATGGTCTCTCTTATTATGAAAATTTAATCGGTGTGACACTGTGCAGCATATTTATGTGGTAGTTTGATAATGAACCTGCAACCCATACATAGTACTGGTAAACACATCGGCCACCTTAATTTAATATTTGTTAACGACCACTCTGCAGGATAATCTACATAAAACCTACCATGACTATTATCTTCTCTAAATCATCATGTTGGGTTCGCTTCTC